GAGCTGCTGTCGCCGTCGCCGTTGACGTTGTTGCTGCTCTGCAAAAAATGTTTTTATTACATTTCGCGCTCGCGTTTTTTGCGCTACTCACGAAATACTTGATGCCAGCACAGCCGCAGCAACAAAGGCAGCGCTGAAAGCCAACTCAAAATAAATATCAAGCAGCCGCCCCCCACACCCCCCCCCCCTTTCGAGGGGAAGGAGTAAGGTATAATTCCAGGCCAAGCTTGCCAAGGCGGCGCCGGCAGTCACACTCGCACTCAAAGCCGCGCGCATCAAAGCGTATTCACAAGTGGTCCTTTGCGCTTTACTGATTTCGCAAAGGCTAAAGGATATTTAGCAAGTAGTCCTTCTGCGTGTTTTCTTTTTTTTTCTGCTGTTCCTTCCATTCTGAGGAAGGCGCTGACGATACTGCTGCCACTAAAGGAGTTGTCTTGGAAACTTTTCTGCCAGATACTCAAGTCGCGGCTCAAGTTATTGTTGTTGTGCCCGAACAGCGCCGCGCGTAAAAGAAAAACCAGTCAAAAACCCACGAGGAAAAATTAAAAAAATAAATGCAGGAAACTTGAGAAGCGAAAGAAAGTGGAATGAAAAGCAACCAGATACTTGGAAATGCCTGCTTGTCTTGAGCAGTTGACAAAACGTTTCAGAAAAAGGCTCTAATTTTATGAATGAGAAAATTAATTTCGAATCTAGGTATATAGCCAGCCGATAGATCATATAGATGCAATGCATATGTCGCATTTGACCTGATGCCGGGCAAAATATAATATTTTACAATTATCATTTTTATATATTCTTTAAAAGTGTAATCGTCTAAGAAATAGGAATTAAGTGGAATACATAAGAGCTACCTTAAAAACATATAAAAAAATTAACCAGTTTATTCATAAAGCCATCTATTATAAGTACACGCCCAATAAATAATAAAGCCTTAAGAAATAAGTTGCATTTTATTTATTCCATACACAGGCAATGCCTTATGCCTCCGGGGGTAAAAAAGGGATTTGTGAGCTTTGCAATTTTCTATCTTGAAGAAATGCAATTCGGAATTGCAATCAAGCGAAAATGAAACATCATTGTTCGGTTTACAAAAAGCCGTGGAATCTCTCAAAAAATAAAGAACCGGCACGCATTTAATAAAAATGTTGCCCTACGCCCCAAACCCTACAAGCAGGCCCCCTCCCCCCCTCCTGGCAAACGATACCTCCAGAGCTCGCGAGCGATTTCAGCATGACTTTCTGCGTTTTTTATGCATGCAGATTATGTTTTCATTAAATTATGGTAGCTATGGTTACTTTTATACAATCCAAAGCTACTTCAAACGCAAAAGCGCACGACCCCCAACGCAGGCACCAGGCCCTGCCCCCGCCCCCCACAAAGGACCCACTCCAAAAGCGGAGGAAAAAAAACGCAAAGGCAAAGAATGCGCATAATAGAAAGTAATGTGTATCTGGCTGTTCGGCAGGGCTGGGTATTGCATGGTGGCGGGCGAGGGGTGTTGGGTTGGAGAAACGATTCTGCATAACTAGTGCAAGAGTAGTCAAAGAAAATTGTAGTTTATTTTTATTGCATTTATTGCGCGACTAGCTCACAGCAACAAAAGCCACCCCCAGCCGCACGCAGAAGACATGCGTGCATTTGCATGCAGCGTGACATGTGCGAGTGAGTAAAAGCGGAAACGGAAACGCCATCTTTTTGGCTCTAAATTTACACGTATGCGCTAGTGTGAGTGCTGCCATTGTTGCTGCTGCTGTTGTTGTTGTTGTTCTTTAGTGCGGCACGTACATTTATTACTTTTTGCTCTCACACACACACACTAACACACACGCACACATTGAGACGCCGGCACATGCATGCAAAACGGTTTTCATTTTTTATTGCGAGAATGTAACGTGCCGCATGCGAATTACTTGCTTCTCGTGCCCCAAACTCTGGCACTGGCTGTGCCACAGCTTCTGCCACCGATTCTGATTCCGATTCTGGCTCTGGCTCTGGCTTTTCGGCCTTTCGCCACGTTTAATGTTAACTTTTTGTGCCGCTGTTGTGCGCAGAAAATATGAAAAATATTCGTAATAGAGTTGTTTGAAATGTACAATAAGCTCTCAAGTGGCTTCGGCGACGACCAAGTGCTAGACGGATGCCCCCACCCAATCATATAGAAATGGGAACGCCAACAGCAGCAGCAGCAGCAGCAGAGAGTGCTGCTTAAATGCAGCATCTTTTTATTGCCAACGATCTATGCTAACTGAAATGGGCAATATCTGTAAGATACCCACTAAAAATATATGATAGCTAATGAATATATCGAAAAATGAATAAAATTTTAAGCAATGATATAATAATAAATTAGACTGTGAAGAGAAAATAATTTAATTAATGCTTATTGATAAAAGAAATGTTCTAAAAATCAATGATAGCTAATAAATATAATATATCGAAAAATAAATCGAATCAAAGATATTATATATTTAGCTGTAAAGAGGAAAAATAATAAGTATACTGAATACATATTCATAAAAATCTTTTTATAAAAATCAAGCAAATTTTGTACCAAATCGGTTCTATCCCGGCTTGCAATTAGTTTATGAAAATTTGAATTTTCGGTTCATCAAACCTCATTATTTTTAAATATTTTAGTTCAATAAAAGTAGAAGAATTTTAACGACGAGTCAAACCCACAGCATTAATTACTTGGGCCCCAATAAAAGGAACAATCTAACCATATTTGGTAGACGCCAATTTTGGGTAGAGTTCAAATCTAGCCCGCAGCGTGTTTATGAAAATATGTACGGCTTACAATATTTTCAGTAACATGGGCAACTAAATACTAAAAATTAAGTTTTCTTATTTAAATTTGCAAACCAAGGCTTAACTAAAGAATATACAAATAATGTTTATATAGTCTTTGGCTTAAGCCTGGGTTCCTTGGCCTGAGGCCAGGCAGTTGATCCTTGGGCTTGCAGCTCTGCTTTAATTTAAAAGGAAAAGATACACAACGTAGATTGAAGATATCTAGGTAATAGTTAAAGAGTACAACCAGAGAGGGACGCTTAACCAAACTCGAAACCAAAAAGAAAAGCCCAATTTATCTTACGAAACAAGTTGATCTCGTCCACAAGGACTCGTACGGGGCATAAGTTCGGTGCACATCGTTCTGAGCTGCTCTTTTGCTCCCACAGTTAGCGTGTCAGCCAGTCTGTCATAATCCACATCCTTATCCTTGCCGTTTTGCAGTTACATATAAAGAAATTCGCTGTCTGACGATGCGAGTGCCTGATATATGCATTGCTTGCAGCTATGGAAAGCGCGCCATGGGCCAAGGGGTTACCGAGGGGTGGCATATGGTAAATTTTAATAATTTCTGCATCTTCCAACACTTTGAATAAAAATTGTTGCTTTGATGGTGGCAGCAGCAGCAGCAGCAGCGGCAGCAGAACAGAGCGTAACTAGCAATAAAAGTTTTTAGTGTGAAGCGCCAAAAGAGACGACAAAAAATATGGACACATATGAAGTCATAAAGTCATATTAACACGTACGAGTGCGCACAGGATATTAATGTGCAGCACACGCACACTAACTAACACACACACACACACACACACACAGAGACACACACACGAAATGCCGGAAGGGGGCACAGTTTTTTATGCGCCAAGTTGGCTGACTTCAATGTTAATATAATTTCAAATATTGCGGTTAATTTTTGTTACGTACGGAAGGGTGGCGGAAATGAGCTCAAATTTTTGGCACAACAACAATAGTTGGCCAGCATTTATTTAATATACGAAATGCATTTCGAAAAACTAATTTCAGGCAATGGCCCCCCAAACCTACTGTAAAAGTAGGCACAAACTTTATGAATTTCGCCAAATGGCAACTGGCTGTTGCCACAGCGCACAGAAATTGCAATAAACAAAAACGTATACGAAATTGTTTCTTCTTTCTTTTTTTGAGAGAGAACCGCAGCCTTTCGCTGGTCAAAAACATTCACAGCGCCAGTGCGGGGACAATGCAGACACACATTGGCCAATACAAAGCCACTTGACCCACCCTGGACGTCGGTCGCTGGCGCGTTGGAGCCCTCCAATGATTTTGGTCAATTGGATGACACCGAGCCGCACTGACAAGAGTGCCAGCACACACACACACACACACGCACACCCACACACACACAGGCTGTTGGCAGACACATGTGCATAACCACAAGCGAACTCATCCGGCTGAAGCACCGCGGGGCCACTTATGGAGCATATGCGGCGGCAACTGGAACATGGACAGCATTGATGTCGTTACCGATGCCGAAGCCAACCAATCGCCATGGCAATAAATTGCAGTGCGTCCAGAGCGCTTGCCAGCGGCATCCAACTCGAGTTGAAATTGGTCAAAAGTTTAACATATTTGCGTGTGTGCGGAGAGGGCTTTTCGGTTGGAATTGGAGACTAGGGTGTGGGTGACTAGGGGAGGCACATGCTGCTCCGGCTGCTCCGGCTGCTGTCGGTGGCCTTTTTGGCGCATTTTTGGGTAAATAAACGAGCGGCTGCATATTCGAGTGCTATCCGCGGGCACATCCTGCTTGTTGGCGCTCTTATGGCCACCGCTTATGAGTTTCACTTTGTCAAGTGCCGCCCGCAGCTGCCATTTGCAGTTATTGCAGTTGCACAAAAAGTTAATGTATATAGGTAAACAAGCAATAAACAGTTAACATTTTAAATTATAAAAATAAAAGATTTCACTATTCATCATATGACAGCAAACTAAAAAATAATTTAACAAGCTTAAAATAATAAATATATAAATATAACAATTAACAACTGCATTTTCTCAACGTTTTGTTCGCACAATACTATTAAATATATATATGTATATTTACTGCTATTTTATATTATACATTCAACATTTGACTTCATTTATATATTTGCACTAAGTTATTTGCTAATAGATTCAACTAACCTAAAGTTGTGCTAAAAGATTTCATTATGATTTCAAAGATTTCTAATTTGTAAGGAACGTTTTACATTAAGGCCTTAAGGCGAAAGGCAGCGCCTAAGAACTAACAATATTCGAACATGGTATAAATTAGAGTATTTAATATTCGACTACTGAGTTAAATGACTAACTATATGCTATAAAGGCCACACACAACCGTGGTAAAGCATTGGGACAGTTTTTAAGCTGCTTTGGTATAGTTAACAAGACTAGCATTTCAGAGTTTCAACTATCACTGATAGAATTATATAAATATATATATAGTTATATATATATTTGATTAGCAATAAACTAAATGGCTGCAAGTAGTTTATGGTTCCATAATAACTACAATTCGAGAATATCCATTGCACATAGCTTTTACTGTATGGCACAAACAGCGGAGGCGCCCGTGTATTGATTATTTAGACGACGACGCATGCCCTCCAAGTAGATGTCACGACTAAACAAGCCAGCGGCCAGTGGTATGCTATAAAATAGATAACATAAGTTAATGTATTAGCAACTAATTGGCAGCTACTTACGCATCAGTGCCAGCACGTATGAGTGTGCGAAACAAGGCCCAGACTGGCTTGTGATCGGACGTAGTGATAGACGGCACAGAGTCGTAAATCAGGCACTGCACATAAGGCTGCGTGGGCGTGGAGACACCCGGCACAGAGCTCTGCCGGCGTATGACTAGTCCTTGCATCTGACGATACTTGTAGAGAATGCGATCCGTATATGCCGGCGCGCGCTGCTTAGAAGACGTATCAAAGTTCTGACTGCCAGGATCATACTGAAAATAGGCACATAATTATAATTAATTTAATAATATGCTACGTCCAATGCTCACCTTATAAGTGGGAGGAAACGTAATGTTTGCCTCCATGAAGCCACGAAAAGCAGCGCCATCGGCCAGCACCGATGAGAGCTGATCCGTGTGCATGTAGCCATGCGGCAAATGCGAGGGTAGCGGAAATTTTGTGTTCTGTATCCACTCGAGTAGTTTCTCACGTGGCTCGCCCAGCCGAAAGTTAAGATCACCACACCAGAACACATTGTCGAAATTCTGCGTAACATCCTTGTTCTTGTGCCGCGCGTTGGGCAGATTCTTGGGCAGATCCAGTGCATTTATAATGCGCTTGACATCCGAGACGCGCTCTTTCACCTTCTGCTGGTGTGCGGTCAAATGGGAAGTTACAAAAAGCATGGATGTGCCAAAGAGGCAAAAGGATATGGCCACCGCGCCCTTGGTACGAAACGCAGAGCCTGTGCGCACCGACATCGATGCGTCCTCTGGCGCCGAACAGTACCAAATGAGATCGCGCCGCATGTAGACGGCCAGATGAAGTGTACCGAGTGTCGTCGAGTGAAAGAGTACATGCGAGGGGCCCAGGGTCTCTTGCAGCGTCACTTCCCACTCAAATCGATCTGGGCTAGACTCCTGGGTTCCCATAACAACCAGGTCTGGCACATGCTCCATATTTGAAGGTAGCACAAAGTCGTTCATTTGCCTGGAAATTCAAATGGCAAACTTTATATGAGGAAACATTCTGCATTAAGATTCGAACTCACTTGGGCGGAGCGTGGCCATTCATGTTCCAGGTGCCCACGAAAATGGTGACCTCTTTTTGGGGCAGTACGCGACTTAGTTCGCTCGGCCCCAGCAGCGAGGATGAGCCCATTCGCCCATCAAGATAGCTGCGCTCGCGTGCCTTGTCCGCCGGTATGAGATTCAGTGCCTGCGCCGCCATCAGTGCCTGGCGTGCCAAATTAGAGCTAGATCCTTGGCGATTCAGTGACATGTTCTCATGCGACATGAACCGCACACCAGGCGCCTCCTGGATGACCGCGTCAAGCGAATCCGGCTGCGTGGCAATGTTGGGCGACGACATGTGCTGTGGCGTTGTGGCGCGCTTCAGTGTTTCCGCGCTCTCTTCCGAGTTGAGTGGTGGCTGCTCCTGGCCAGGCGGAAACAACTTGAGGCGCAGCCGCGACCGGCACGCGGACACAGCGATGGGACGTATCGGCGCCCGATGCACTGTGTCGCTTTTGTTGAACGAACTGGACGGCGAGTACTGTGAATGATGAGTGGAGCTGGTGGCACTGGTACCGCATTGGGCAAAAAATGTTTTGCCCGCCACTGGAGATTCGGGTGCGCTGGCACACTCGCTCGAGGGACGCGGGCGCTGTGCAGACGGCAGCTGAAAGGAGGCGGCTCCTTCGCTTGAATGCGAGTGCATCGAGCCCGAGTTGTCCATCATGCTCCAGCTGAGCGACAGATTGTCTCGCCGGAGCACGTTGCTGGCGTTGACAACGGCGTCGGGTATAGAATTGTAGCGCACGGTAACTGGCGGCGTCATTGGCTTCTTCTCTGCCTTGCAGCACAGGCTGAATTGATGGCTAAATCTGTTGTGATTAGGCGAACGCTTCTTGGGCGACTTGCGACGCATTATCACATCCGCGCCGCCATCACTCTGCGAGCCGGCGTCGCTGCTGTAGCGGCTCGTGTGCCCTTTACTCTTGGACGTGGGATTACCGCGTCTATGGAAGCTTATTAGGCCGCTGTGAGATTTGTCCAGTAGCTGCGTGGCGTTGCAGTTGTTGGCGTTGGCGGGCAACGTTTGACTCTTATGATTATTGAATGGTTCAGCAGAGCATTTGGCGAAACTGACATCGTATTGGCCGCATACAGACATTGGTCGTCGCTGCACATTTGGAGATTCGGGAGTGACGGGATGCGGCTCTACCTTGCTCGGCCGCTTGCTTAGCAGCCCAAAGAGCGTGCTGCTGCCCGACTTTTGTGCGGAGCGTGGACTGCTCGTCATGCGCTCCTCGCTGCCGGTCACGCTCTGCTGCTGCATGTCGCACAATTGTTGAGTCTAGTTCGCGAGGTAAATTAGTTTCTATTTGTGTGAATTTTAGCTGCAGCTGTTGTAAGCCCGTCTTGCCAGCACTTGGGGGCAGTCATTTAATGTAATACTGTGCTTCATCAGCTATCACATGTTTCCTTTAATTGTGCTTACATTGGGAGGATTTCTAGCCTCATGTGCGTAGGGTGAACTTGACTACAATGTGGACAGATTGCGGCTGAGTTTCCATATGTGATGTACAGCTCCTTGTATGCTCAGCCGCCCATGATGAGCTCCGGACAGCGTTGTGCTTTTGCCTGCAAATGTGGATACTTCTATAAAGGCGTTTAATGGTTAACAATGCACGCAACTCACCTGTCGCCGCCGCTGTGATTCAGACCTCGGCGAAGCGGGTAATAAAAAAAAACTACAATCTGCAGGAACAACGGAGCTGCGGTTGGAAAAAAAAAATCAATATTTAAACTGTAAGCACATATCGCAATGGAGGGAAGTCGCGGCGCAGCACTTAAATCCACCCTTCCCACATTGGCGTTGCCCACAGCAATGCTGTGGCGCCAACAGCAGGCAAGGGAGTTGCCAGGGAGGTGGCCAACGGCATTAAAGGGGGGCAAAAGTAAAATGAAAAACTATATAACGACGACGTAACGACATTGGCATCTGTAAAGCATGCCGATGCCGCGGCTGTGACGTCCGCCCACGCACAAAGAAAGCACATGAAGAAAACAACAACAACAACAATAACAACAACAAGAACGTTGGCGACATCACTTGATTTGTGCGCCGGTGCGCTCTTATGCTGGGATTTATAATTAGCAGCCCATTGTTGCCGCCAAACGTACGCCAGTGTTTTGCCTTGAATGCGGCTATGAGGCGTCTGGTAAAGTCTCGGCAAATAGCAACATAAAACAACAACGGCAGCAGCAGCAGCACGCAACACACATTTTTTGTCTAACTTATTTCAAGTTCAGGTTCAGGAAAACTGTAACATTGACACTTTTTAGACGACCTTGTACCTTTTAGTACATATTATGCTTTTTCCTGTGTCATGACCCGCGAACACAAACTCAAAACTAAATATTGTTTATTCACTGAAGTTACTCGATACACCGACACTCAGCTACTCGATTCGCTGAAACGATTTTAACTTTTTGATAATTTATGTTATCGTATATCGCGCCAAATGCAGCTGTCGGCTCTGAATTGCCTTAACATAGTTCTGTTAGTTTTACAGACAATGTTTAAATAGTGTACTTTTGAAAATTAGTAGCGCCACTGCCCAGACTTTGCATATTGCGTCAGTGCTTAATATGTCTAAGAATTTAGTATTATTCGAATACATATTAACTGTGCATCCCAAGCATCGTGTGAGTTTTGATTCATGTTTTCATAAATAACTGAAAAGTAAACAAATCGAACAGCTGATTGCAGGGTTAATGGACTGATTTCGTATAGAATATGGGCACCTTTTACAATTAATTATAAATATATCGATATATTGCTACAGAACATATGACACTTTCGATACTAAGACCATATTACCACGATAAAAGCATATCGAACATTAATAATACCTGCATTCGTATTTTGCACATTCGGCGGGCTGAACCTAGACAATTTCGCCATGGCTGCCCAGACAATACTCTTTGATTTTACTTTGGATGCTGGAAAAACAGCAACGGCAATACAACGCCAGGAAGTGGCTCGTATTGTTCGTAATGAGCTGGAACATGTGTTCTCCCAACTGGAGCTCGCCTATTCCATGGAATCCATGGAAAATGGATACTTTTCGGTGCTGCACGAAAACAAGGAGACAATTATCACATGCCGCATCTTTCAACAGGGTTTGTTAACCATCAATGTGGAGTATTATTTGGCAGACGGCAAGGAGCCTATCATGTCCTTTGATGTATGTATGTATGTATAACGTGCACACTATAATTATTTTTAAAGCAACTTTTGCACAAACATATATGTACATATTTCGGGCACTTACACGTGTGAAAGTAAACTCACGCACACACACACACTAAGATTATGAGCTGTCAAAAGCTTTTAATGTCAAGGGGGGGTAAAAGGGTTTACAGCGGCAAGTGAAATTGATTTTTCGCTTGCCTCTGTATGTGTGTGTGGCCCTTTGGCGGGGGTGTGTCACATGCACTTGACCGTTTTTTTTTGCCGTCAAAATCGCTGGCATTGTTTTTACGCTCTTAAAAGTTGGGTGGGTGGCGGCGGGCGCATTGTACTCGAGCTTGGCAGGCGGTCTGCATGTGTCCAAGACCTTCAAAACTGGCTATGTGTGCGTATGAATTTACTTGCGACTATTATATCACACCGCGTCTCTGCTTGATACCCTTGCGGAGAGCACTTTCATGTTTACATACTGTTTGAACAGCTTATCTTAAGATCGGTTAATATGTATATTTATACGAACTTAAAAATAAAAGGTTACCACAACGGTAATTATATTTTATCTCTATCTAATTTCAATGCCTTACAAATGAATGTGAACGTTCGGGTTAAATTTAACAAACCTCCATTCGCCAGAGTTAAGGTTAGGGTATGCGTGCTTCGACCCGGCAGCGTTCATGCTCTCTATCTCGCTCTGCGCTTCCTCTCTTTCATAGAAGCACGTGGGTGCAGCTTTGAGTAAATGTTATATTGATTCTTGAAATGATTTCTGCGCCAAACAGATGCGATTCTCTATAAAGTTAGCTATTTAAATAGACGTAGGCATATGTATGTATGTATTTATATATATACATATGTATGTATGGCAAGAGTTATCTGTCGTATATCGGATCTGGTTTTGCCGGCAGTTTACGCTTTTCGGCCTAAAAGAATATTCACACTGTATTTTCATTTGTATACGATATAAATTTCTAGAAAATATATAAACACATGCAATGGGAATACTTTCCATTTTCGTAAGAATTTACAATCTAAACTATAAATAGTAGTTTGTGGGGCTAGCTATATATATTCCACACGCTAACAAGAGTTGCTTGAATAGTTTGTGGCTGTGAAAACTTTCACCAAATTTTGCTGAGAAACCTCACCTGCTTAAGCAAATTATGTATTATTTTTTAATTTTTTTATTCGCTTTCATTTGCCTAATTTATTGACTTAATTGCAATTTACGCTTGTTACTCAGTAGGAGCCACATTTAGGTACATTTTAAAAGCTTAAATAAAAAGACAATTACAATTGCAGACCATGCGTACAATGGAGCTTATACTACGTCAAAAGTTAGATTCCGATCGATCCAAGTATTTACCGCCGATAAAACGTGGTGGATATATTGACATATACATGACTAGCTCAGGTTGGTCAAATACATTATTTAAACAAACAAAAAAAGAAAACCAAATAAGTTTAGTTTTTGCTAGTTCTATATGCAACATATAATGCAGTATCAAGAGTTATGCAATCCTTGTATTTACTCGTATATCTTCCTATGCCGAATTCTCTCTTCAAAATCAATTGCCAAAACTTGCAACTCAAGCAGTGCAAAAAAACCAAAATTAATTATACACTTTTTACATCCAATTGTAATTCAATTCAATTCAATTCGAAAATATAAACTCATATTCATCAACTATTTGGTTGCACGAGCCCTAGCCAAATATGGCTCTATAAATTCGCAAACGGCTTGTCAATCACATACACCACAACCAAGAGCGTTTTTTTAAATATAACATACGTACATTGTAGTCCTTACATATATCCATGTAATATAAGCTACCTAGCTTACCTCTAGAAATTGCCTCCTAATTCCGGCAGTTCTTGCATGCTTGTTACGTCGTGCTAGAAATCCAATAAAAAAAAAAAACCAAAAAAAAACGATAATAATAACAAAAGCAGCGTATTATTTATATTATTTTAAGAATTCTCAATTACTTTTTTATTTATTTTTTATAAACTCTTTTTTATTTTCATATCCATGAATACACAACTGAAAACCCACACGATGTCTTTGGTCTAATCTTCATCATCATCATCAACATCATCTTGCCATGAACCAAATTTCTTGAATTATACAACAAACAAAAAATTTAAAACCAAATTAAATTGTACGTACGCCCTATGCACATGTGTCACCTGCCCCGCTCGCTCGTTCGCTCTCATGGTACCAACAACAACAACAACAACAACTATTACTACTACTATGTACAACAACAACAACAACAACAACTCCACCTACCACCACGTACATTAACCACCCAATTGAGCAGACTGGCAGACGCGTGGAAAATGCCATAGCCACAAAATTGAATGCCCTTTCGGGTCAAAAGATACCAACATTGAAGCGTGGCGATGTCGCTAGGTATTATCCATCAGCAGGTAACGTATACCGTATACTCTACTACTATCATATTGAAAAACTATAGAAGCTATATCATATATCTCATAAGTAGTTGAGCAACTTAAGCACTGCGTACAAATACATTATAAAAGGCACAGAGCATGATGCATACTTACATTTAAAATCCGAAATATATTATTTACGTTCAATATGTTTTTGTTTAATCTTAACTTTTCCTTGGAGTTTATTTATTCTTTGATAATCTGTTAATTTACGTTGAAACATTTGTCTGCATGCATGTAATTATGTATATATATATATATATTAGCCCTGGAGTATTGTAATTGGCAATAGTTTTACAATTGTAAACTTGTATAATATATATTTAATACCTGTACTCTTCCCAGATGAGCGCATTATTGAGTACGACATTGATACCCTTGTCTATGAGGCCCGGTCCCCGTTTCAGAAGATTCAAATCATGCACTCCAAGACGCTGGGCAATATGCTAATTCTAGACGAGTTGCAGAGTAAGTCGAGCAACAGGCACGCACACATGCACCCAGTTGCACGTCAATTTGCAACCCCTGCAATGCCACCAAGATAAAATTAAGGTCAAGGCCTAATTGGTGCACGGCACGTGTCTGTTGTTGCTGCTGAAATAATAAAAATCAATTATGCAAGCTAAAATCTTTGACTATTTACAGATATTGCCGAGTCGGATTTGATCTATACAGAAACCCTAATGGGTCGCGGCATTGAGAACTACGAGGGCAAGGAGATTTGTATTCTAGGAGGCGGTGATGGCGCATTGCTCTATGAGCTGCTTAAGGAGAATCCAAAGCATGTGGTCATGCTCGAAATTGATGAGCTTGTCATGCAGGCCTGCAACAAGTATTTGAATACCATTTGTGGTGATGTCTTGGAGAAGCGCAAGACAGATCAGTATGAGATCATAGTGGGCGATTGTGTGGACTATATGAAAAAGTTCATTGCCGAGGGCCGCAAGTTTGACTATGTGTTTGGGGATCTAACTGACATACCTATTTCGGATACACCGATTGGCGAATGCTGGGATTTTATACGCACCATCTTTGAGCATTCGTTCCAGCTACTCAAGCCAGATGGCAAATACTTGACTCATGGCAACGGCACCAGCTGCTTGGAATCGCTGCAGTTGTTTGAGGATCAGCTACGCTTGCTAAAGCCCAAGGTTAAATTTACCACAACAAAGGCGTTTGTACCGTCCTTCATGGAAGAATGGCTCTTCTATCAAGTAACTTTCGCTTGACCAGCTCAAACAGAAGCTGAAACACAATTAAAGCTAACGAGTAGTACGAACTCAACAACAGCAATAACAACAACAACAACAACGAACACATCGTGTCTCCACAACGCTATCTCCAGCACACAACACGTTCTCACACCCGCAACAAAAATCGATCAAATCGAGCTCAATAACAAGGAGCCGCTGATACTGCACAGCTACACCGTGATATTGCATGCTGCCAAATCTGAGCAGTTGCCACAGAATCTACACAATCGTGTGCCACGTCGTCAAAGGCGTGTGCACTATCACCATGCCCTGGTTTCCTAGTGGAGGCTATTTAAATGTAACCAAAAAGACAAAGGAACTAATTAGCATCACTGACATCACTTAAAAACAACAAAGAAACAAAACAAACAGACTTCCAAGGGCTGTAACTAGCATCTGATAACCAAACCAAATATTTAAAGTCCAATTGATATAATTTAAGTTAGGATTTAGTTGTGTTTTACGTTCATTGATTTTAAAACTAAAACTAAGTCAGGCTCAGGCAGAGGCGAGAACAACACATGTTTTGTACTTATTTGTGCTTATTTAACATTATATTTAATATCTAGTATTTTCATAAACATACATAATATACTTATATGCCTACTTATATATATACTTAGAATTCATGTATTTAATTTTCAATTAGACACTTAAAAGTGTGTGGATGCTAAATTGAGTGTTAGGAGTATAGCAGATAGCTGATGTTACTTGATACGTTTGAAAAAAAAAACTTTAATAAAATGTCGTACGCAGAACAAGCAATTGTTTTATTCAGCTGTTTACTCTTGCCAAAAAATAATGAGGTTGCAAGACTTATATGGTTTAAATCAATCAAAAACTATTAAAGGTAACCCTGCCCGAAAGTATCAATAACTTTGGGCTGGATTATTGCAATTAACTATATTTTTGTAGATCCCATTTTTGAATAGAGATCAAATTTAGCCCGCAACTTGGATATGAAAATATGAAAGGATTACAATATTTTCAGTACAAAAGGGCAATTGTAAATTAAAAATGGAATTTGAAATTTTGAAAATATTAGACAAGCCAAGGCTTGAACCGCGAACAGTTGCTTTTTTAAATTTCAATTCAAAGCTACATAACACTTCTGGATAACCGCGCGCGGTCACACACAAATCGATTAATCGGAACGGCATCGATAGGAATCAAGGGCAATAATCGATGAACCGATAGACGATTGCCTAAATAAATAGAAAGCAAATTTCGTTTGCGAAACGAAGGCAGCAGTTGCGGAACTAATTGAGCGAAAAATGGATCGGAAACTGCACAGTGGTATACATCATCCTACGCTGCGGCTGCTGCAGGAATCTGGCTGTGAAATAGTGCCACACAACTTGATGTATCCTGTCTTCATAATCAGCAACGACGATGAAGAACAACCCATATCGAGCATGCCGGGCATATCACGCTACGGTGTGAACCGATTACGCGAGCATTTGGAGCCCCTGATCGAAAAGGGTCTGGCGTCGGTATTGCTCTTTGGCGTGATAGATTGCGACCTCAAGGATGAGGTGGCGTCCCATGCCGACTCGTCGCTGAATCCTGTTGTACTTGCATTGCCGAAGCTGCGCAAATGGTTTCCAGATCTGCTCATAGCCTGTGACGTGTGCATATGTCCGTATGCCTCGCACGGCCACTGCGGCCTCCTGGGTGACAATGGCCTGGAGAATGCGCAGAGCATAAAGCGGATAGCTAACATAGCGGTGGCCTATGGCAAAGCTGGCGCTCACATTGTGGCCCCCTCGGATATGATGGACAACCGCGTGCGAGCGATTAAACAGGCGCTGATTGACGCCAACCTGAACAGCGTTTCGCTGCTGGCCTACTCGGCAAAGTTTGCGTCCAATTTCTATGGCCCCTTTAGAGAGGCAGCACAGTCGGCGCCAGCTTTCGGAGATCGTCGCTGCTATCAGTTGCCCAGTGGGTCTCGCAATCTGGCCATGCGGGCGGTTCAGCGTGATGTTAGCGAAGGCGCAGACATGCTCATGGTGAAGCCCGGCATGCCCTACCTGGACATCTTGCGTCAGACCAAGGACACATATCCATACCACACTTTGTATGTCTATCAGGTGTCTGGCGAGTATGCCATGCTGTATCATGCTTCCAAGGCGGGCGCCTTTTCACTGCGTGAAGCGGTGCTGGAGTCAATGAAGGGCTTTAAACGTGCGGGCGCCGATTGCATTATAACCTATTTTACGCCCTATCTACTGGATATAATCAGCAAATCGGCGTAACACAGCAGGACAATTCAAAATGTGGCTCTCTCTCTCTCTTTGCGTTCAAGTGTACTTAAACAACCTCAAGGAAACATTCTAGTTTTAAGTCAAAAGCGTGCAAATATTAGTATAGTTCCATTTTAAATATTTGTTTGTCACATAAAAGAAATATTGGCTAATCATGCTTATGGTTCCCAATCCCTTTCACTGATTTATATACATGTATATATATATAGTTGTATTCGATTGTCATTCAATATGTTTATCAGCCCAACCTATTTGGAAGGCAAATGTGTTCAGCCCCATTTCAATTTCGTCACGAAACGTTTCCAACTTTGGCATTTCAATTACCGAAAAGCCAAAGCGCACAATCAGCATGACAAGTTTCAGGGCCAAATTTTGTAATACAGTGATCGCTAGCAAATTATAAATTTCATATATTAGGTGCTTGCTATCTTAAATTTACTTATTTTTGTTAAACATTTTTATTGATTTATGCTATTAAAACACTTTTAAATATACAAAAAATGTTCATAATTTTATATGTTCATTAATGCTTTAAATTTGTTGCTTTTTGAAACTGGTTGCAAATAAGAAGTTCTCTTTGGAGCCGTAGCGTTCTACTATGCGAGTGAGCACTGTATTTAGAATTTGAGCCGGTAAAGCGGACCGCTATGAATATTGATTTCTTTTCTTTTTTAGGTGAAACAATGTCCAGGGCTCATCTAAACCGTATTAAGCATTTGAATGTTCACACTTTAATTAAATATACAAATTGTTTTGGTTTGCAATATAGTGACATTGAAATTGGCCTAAATCTTATGTGCTAAACTTAATAAAGTATTAAGTGGTGCAATATTAAGTCTTGGAATGTGATGTTAAATCACAAAATAAAGTGCATTTAAGTACATGAAACACTAGGTCTTCTTTTTTTTTTGGGTACATATTTGAATCTTAAATGCATAGACTTGGACCACAAAAGCTGTGTAATATGTGATTTTGTAAGATCTAAAATTTATATAGCCATAATACAATACAATGTACTATAAGTTTGCAATTATTATAGTTGTTTTGGATATTTAAGGAAAATATGGGGACTACAGCTACGAATATATCTAATTATGAAATACTGTGATATATGTATTTTTAAACTCGTTGTGCGCTGTGTGACGTGCCAGCCTTTTGTTTAGTTGCTTTCGCTGTTGTTGATTTTGCTGTGCTCAAGTATGTCCGTATTTTGCATTGGTTCTAGGTCCGTCTCGGATATGATCTCTGCCAGCCACTGCTCGATCTGCACCGGATGAAATGAGTCCTCGTCGCCGCTGTTTGCCTCCAAGATTATTTTCAGGTTTTCAAAGTTCTTCAATATTAAACGTCTGCCCGGCTGCAGCTGCGATGACAGCGTTGACTCGCCTGCTTGGCTGCCCTGCGTGCTGGAGACCTGGGCCGGCCCGTCTCCGTGCGCCCGCCGACAGTGGGCAACGCAACTGGAATCGGGTGCAGCCTGTACCGCATCGCTGCTTGTGACTGTAGCTGTAGCTGTTGTTGCTGCAGCTTCCGGCACGGGCTCATATGTGCGAGTTGGCTTCTGCTTGAGGCTCTTCTTGATTTCATTTAGCAAGCGATTGTAAAAGTCGCAGTTAGCTTCATGCGTCTCCGTCGAAGTGGGCTGTGTGGGCGTGGTCTCAGCAGTCTCGGAAGGATGCTCCCTTTTTTCTTTAGGTGTCTCCTCTTTGACCTCTGTCCTCTTGGCGCTCTTTTGCTTCTTAGACTGCGAACGCGAGCTCGCGTTGCTCGAGTAATTGGAGCTGGTGGGCGTACAGCTGGAGAGCTCGGTGGCGTTGCTGCTCGAATCCGCCGACAGTGTTTGCTGCAGCTTTGTTTGCGCAGCTGCGGCGGCTGCGCCATCGGTGAGTGGCAGATCAGCACTGACAGCGTCCTCGCTGGCACAGTTGATGGTTAGGCTGGCAATGTTGCGCAGATTTATCGTGCCATTGCAGTTGTTGATGGTGATTTTTGGTTTGAAGCGGGGCTTGCGTGCCTTCGGCTTTTGCTTGATGGACGGCTGCTCGGGACAGCTGCGTCCTAGACTGGAGACCGCATCGGCTATGGACGATTCCAGCTCGTCGTCCAGCTCTTCGAGATTAAGCGGCGGAACATAGGTCTCCCGCTTGATTTTCGCTCGGCGTATCAGATCTTTGGCCTCCTGCAGCGTGATGTTGATAATGGAGCGCTTGGCATTGTCCTCGAGCAGCGCCTTATTGCGTGAAAAGTCCACCACAATGGCCTCTGGTTGAACCTCATCATTCAGATCGTAGTAGGTGCTGTTGCGCACCCCATTCTCTAGGCATTTGTACATGGTCTCGTGATCATCCATCGGCTCTATGTAGTCCTCGTTACGCAGGCCCGCCGTTCTGTTGTCCTGCGACCTGTGCAGAGCCAGCTGCATATTGCTGTCCAGCTGGAACTGGCCAAAGCTGCGAATGGCCGCCAGCAGTTTCTCCTCTTCGTTATCATCGCCAGTGACGAACCGCACCTCGCACTTATCTTTCTCTTTGTCTGTGTCGTACTCGATGTACACGGGCGTCGATTGTAGCCGCTGCGTATTTGCTATTACCTCCAGTTGACGCAGTAGCAACTTTTCACGCATATGCAGTGCAGCGCGTATTTCATTGAATTTCTGTTGCACATTTGTTTTTACCTAAACAATAAAAATGATAATATGAAAAGGCTGCTGCATTACAGTTGCAACGCCCTAAACTGTTTTTGTAATACTTTACCTGATCCAAGAGCTGCTCCATGATAGCTATACGATTTTCTTAACAGCATATGCTAAATAAAAACATTTTAATCAATCTTTACGCGTAAAAGAAAAATATGCAAATTCTGTTGCTGTTTGATCGAATTAGTGGAGCGAACATCTACGGCGAATAATAAACATATGTTTCGCGGCGAAACCAAACCAGCTAAAATGTATCGATAAGTAACAAGGAGTTATCGCTTTACTTATTTGTAAGAAATAATGTGGCTATTATATCCCGCCTGCAAATGAAAACGTCACTATGTCGTCAGATATATTTAATTTTGTCAATTTTTACTTGCCCTAATATCGATAGAACAAAATATTACTATCGGCAATATCAATGAGCTAAGAGCCGCGTGAACGTTTGCATCTCTAATGTCAATTTGCTTTTTCAAGGCATTGCTCGCTGTTAATAACAGTCAGTCTGCTTATTTTGGCCGTCGTGATTTCTTGGCGCGGATAAATTTTTGTTGATCACTCGATTTGCGCTTGATTCAAATACAAGATTTCAATAATATTTACGACTTTTTGACAACACATCCGACAACGACAATAAAAACAGTAAAAAAATAAATATTAATAAATTCACCGTTAATGCAAAAGCTGTCGGTGTTAAGCAGCCGCCGCTAGCGTCTCATTATTGTAATTATTCGGCTCATACCTTTAATGTGTTTTTTGAATTTTTGTTTAAATTCTTCATTGTACATTTGTTTATATAAAAGCAACACTCGCAATTGTGAATCATAGGCATCGAGCGCTCGCTGCTGTTGCTGTTGGTGTTGTTGCTTGCCTCGCACAACTAATCTAAAATAGTGTCAGTGTGTGAGTGCGTGTCTGTGTTGTGTCTTGTTTGTGTTTGCCAACGTGTTTTTGTTTTTTTACTTTGCTCCATACACGTTTCTTTAAAACAAAATAAAAAACATCTCACTTAAAAATTGATTGTGCACGACAATTGTTACAATTGTACAACTGCAACAAAAGCAATAAGTTAAGCAACAACAACAACAACAACAACAGCAGCAGCAGCGCCATCAACGTGGAGTGCAAAGACATAAAAACAAAGGCAAAACCCAAAAACAAAAAGAATAAGAGAGCGAGAGCGAGAGAGCGCGAACTGTGTCAATGCGGCAGCCGCAGCAGCAGCAGCCGCCGCCGCAGCGATGACGCCAAAACTTAAAAAAATACATTTTCCAAGCAGCTACTAAACAAATGAAGCTATTTCATTTTAATTATTATTTTAAACTTCATTTCTTTAACTCTTTTAATTGGATTTGTACGACATTTGACATCGCGGCGTCGTTATGCCTACATTCGGCGTAACGTCAACGTCAACTCTTTTTTTTTGTCTTTCGCTATGTCTGTGCCCACACGGCTGCGTTTTTATTGTTGTCTGTTGTCTTTTCGTTTTTTTTTCTTTTCTTTTGGGTTTGCCTTTGCATGAGTGTAAGAGCGAGGCTGTGTTATTAATTGTGTTTGTTTTCGCGTCGTGACTGGCTTCTTGTTAATATTTAAACATGAATGCATGTCATTTTTTAAAGGCAATATTAAAATACATTTGGTCTAGGTCTGCCTAGTACTTTCATGTTAACCTTTTTCCGGTTTCGGTTTCAGTTTCGGTTTCCATTTGCCCACATTGCTGCGCTTGTTTATCTATGCCTTTATTACATATAAAAACCTGTTTGGCTCCACGTAAAACAATTTGTAGTTGTGCGTTTTAAATAAAAATTACCTCATTTCACACGTCGTGGTTTTCCACTTGAAGCGACTACATTTTAATATCAGCCTGTCTTTATCAAACAAAAAGTAAATAATATATATGAAACTTCCAGCAGAACGTATGCGAAACGGCGATAAAAATCAAAGTGCAATGTTTTACAAGTATCAACACAAAGTGTCGCGAGTCGAAATAAATTAACGTATTCATTTATCCCCCCCACAAACCTGTTACATATTTGAATTTACAATTCAAAATTCGCTGCTGCAGCACATTCGCGTGTTCGCATCGAAAACAAAAAGCCAAATAAAGTGTTTCGGGGTCAATGCTGTCTATTTGTGGCCGCTGCTAGCAAAAAGTATCTACGCAACGCAAACGCTTGAGCGTGGTAAGTAAATTCTTTCCTCATTGTTATTGTTATTGTTAATTTGCCATTCGCACGCTTAAGCAGACAAAAGCGTGAGACTGCATACCTAGCTGCGAGCAGCTCAGTCGCTCTTGATCGTGAACGAAGCACACATTTAGTTCAAATACTAGTCACAATGAATAAAACATATTTTAAGTTCACACATGACAATTGATCAAAGGCAAACAAATAACAATTTAAAAAACAGCTGATACAACAGAATCAAGTAGTTGACAAGGAGTACACGAATAAACCGTTACGTTTTGCAATGCAACATTGCGTTTATATTTTCCCTGGTAAGAGATCCACTGCAAGACTAGAAAAATATCTCTATAAAGAAAACAGTTTGTCTGACTGACGGACTGACTGACCGACTGGTGATCAACGCACGGCCCAAACCGTAAGAGCTAGGAAGCTGAAATGTTCACTGTAGTTACCTTATGTGATGAAGGTGTACGTTAAGACGGGGCTTTAGGAAACTCCACCCACATGCGTGGAAAAATCGCAAAAAACCTTTTATGAAACTTTTTTGCTTACATACACACATACGAACACACATACGTACACACATACATACATATGTACATACATACATACATACATACATACATACATACATACATACATACATACATACATATATATACACCTACATACATACATATATCTACATCTACATACATACATATATCTACACCTACATACATACATACATATATCTACACCTACATACATCTACTTACCCGCTCCACCTCCTCCTGCTCCACCGCCTCCAGTTGCCTTGTTGAATTTCAGCAGGGCCTACTTAAATTTTTGAGAATCGAGGAGAAGAGCATTAAAAATTCATTGATTGTAAATTTGCAGCGCAGTGGTATTAAACTTAGACTGCGTTAAGTTAAGGGAAACATTCATGTGTACGTGCGCATACACACACATACATACAGTCGTACATACACACATACTTACATATGCACGCATACACACACATACATACATTCGTACATACACACATACTTAAATATATACTCCCACATAGATGCATACATACTCCACAATTAAGAACATTTTTAATGCTTTTGCTTAACTTAACAAATTTTTACCTATTTAAATTATCTTTTTATATAAAACTGTTTGTCCTGACTGACTGACTGACTTTTTGACCGCTAAAGCTGGAAAGCAAAAATGTTCACTGATGGGGATGCACGTTAAAACTTTTTTGTTTACCATCAGATCGGCCTTAAACTCATTTTCAAAGATCTTTGTTCCAATCCGATCGTCTTCGAAGTTAAATAAACGAAAGTTTATCAGCATCAAGATTCTCACATGGGCGCAAACCGTTGATTCCAACAATTGCAGCTAAAACAGATTTTTAAATAAAAGTGGAGATCAAGAAGCGTAGATTTAAATTTTTCACGGGCGTGGAAAGGTAATATCTAAAATGTTTAGCACAAAACGTTCCTCGGGCAAGGTCGAACAATACCCGCTAGTATATTTGAGAAGGCAGAGCCCTAAATTCACTTTTCAATTAAAAATTGAATTAACTCACTTTTGACACTAATTAACACCTAATGAAGAGCTCAATTGTAATTGTTTCTTTTTAGTTGAAAATAACCCTTGGCTGGAGTGTAAATATTTAATTTACTTTAATTGCATAGTAATTAATCAGAAACCAATGCAATTAAAACAAAAACCACTTATCCAAATATCTATTTGGTGCTGTTTTTTTGACGGTGGGGATTATCCAAACAAAAAGTACACAGATATGTGTACACATTAATTATTCGACTTTAATTAATATTAATTTGCGTTATGAGTGCAACCAGCAATTAGCATTTTCTCATACAAAGGCATGCTGCACATTTGTATGCACATACACACATATATCCCCAATAATTTGTCCATTTGTGTGCAGTTAAATAAAATTGAATTGATATTCATTTCGCAATGTTGTGATTCGTGTGAATGTGGAAATTGCTTCGAGTGCAGCAAAATAAATTGGAAAAACGCCTGCACGAGTTCTAAACTGTGAATGCAAATAAACGAAACTGAGCGCACAATAAAAATAAAAATAAAAAAATAATAAAAAAAAAATAGCTATATTTTCGATATGAATACATATACATATACAAATGTTATTCGAGTATTTTGCAATAACTTTTGTGCACTCTTCCGTTTAATATGCTTTGTAAAGTGGCTTTCAAATGTTTGCCAATTGCTGACTTTTGAACTTCTAACGTGTGGGGGGCCCCTCCCCCTCCCCCTCCCCCCTGCAATCACCTGACCCCGCTATAAATTTGCATGACAAAGCCGCTCAGCCCAAGTGCTGTTAGCATATTTTCGATTTATTCATGCTAGATAGTTGCCTAGCTATGCCAAGGGGCAAAATGAAAAATAAATATAAACCAGAAATATTTTCAGTTTCATTGATGTACTTGTTGTTAAATGTTCAATATTTGTGTGCAAGGCATGTGTAAATGTTTTCAAGGTGCAAATAAATATTTGTTCATGTAAATGAAAAGAACTTTTGTCGGCATTTAATATCTGAGTCCAGTAGACAACTAAACCAAGTTTATTTGTATTACAGCACTGAATAAATGCTTCTAACACTCACAAGCCGCAAATACTATAAATAAAATCCACTTTAAGTAAGCGACTTTTGTGTTTAATTTAATAAAGTTAACTTGCGATATAAAAGTATGGCTCAGCTTATAGGAGTATGGCTCAGCTCTTACTAGCCGCATATCAACCAATCGTGACACACTCCAAATTCTACAATTATCAGAAATATTTTCGTTTTTATAAAAAACAAAGAAAGACGCCCTCGCTCCCAGCTTTCGGCCTATTAAGAAAGTTGTCCGAACATTTACAAACTCTTTTCTGTATCCATAATTTAAACTTTTTTCATATTGGCTTTAACTATATCGCATATTTTCGATTGGCTGATTAAAGTTGATGTACCATCATGGAACTATCACACTTAATTGAAAGAACTGTTTTTGCAATAACTTTTTAGGGAATATAAACTTTCAGCTTTTAAATACTTACATATACGAACATTTTGTGTTTATTATAACGATATATGAAATAAATAATTTAATTTTAAAGCACTTAAATATGTAATTGATACCTACAAAACGATATTCCTTTCATTATAATTATTAAATGTTAAATTATTAACATTATGAAAACCAAATTCAGATTCAGCTTCACTTCCCATTTCCTTTGCTATAATTCACAGAAAAAAAAAACAATTGTTTTTTTTATAATATAGAAACCAACTTCAGATTCAGCTTCACTTCCCAGATTTGTCTGCCCAGTAAATTTATTCTTATAAATATTTAAGCACGTATTTTCTTTTGTTTTTACGTACCATTATCTTCTGCCGTCATCTTATGTTTAATATTTTACCTGTCATGAAAATAGCAACTAAATGACTCGCAGAAAAGCCCCGAATATTGTTCATGTCACAACTCAGGGCTGTTTAAGTGGGTGGCTTGGGGGCTAGAGGGTATCTGTGGGTCGAGCATTTGGCCTGCATCATTTTTTTGGGCTTGTTATCTGTTGCAATTAAATTTAATCACTTGCTCCAATTAGCAGTGCAACTGCGATAATTTCGTGTGTTTGCGCTTAACGCAATTATGCGGCCATATCACGGCCATCCTATTCCCCCTCCCCTCCCCTCCCACACCCATTCACAATCCACCCCGCGCCGTGCTGCACAGAAACATCAAATCAAATTACATTGCTAATACGCCACGTTGTGCGCACAAAGCCGAGCCCCAGAGAATCAGTGAAAGCGCAACGCATTCATTCTGCAATTTGTTTGCATTTATTTACCCACTTTATGCTTGTCCCATAAATGGCCGTGCTCCGAGGCTAATGAGTGGCTCCAACTCCAGTACCGCAGCCTTGATCGCGACGTGGTCTCCGACTCAGACCTGTTCCCAGCTAGTTAACCCAGAGCCGAGCCCTCATTCGTGTTCCGTCTTAATGCTGGTTATGTTTAAAGCTTTGCACAATTTGTAATCTGTTGTCCTTTTTGTTGGCTCCATTTTATTCGCGTGTTTCCGACTTGCCACTCAGCTCCTGGCCGTGAGTCATGGTTAAGTCCGCCCCTCAGCTCTGCTTCTGCCGTTCCCTGTTTTAGTGCTTTTGCATTATGAATTTTTTATAATTTCTTGCGTTTTTATTGGTCGTTTATTCGGCTGGTTATGTTTGGGTCGCTTAGTGCGTGTTTTGCTAGCTCCTGTTGGTTTTTTTCTTCTTGTTTTTTTACTTTTATTTTTTATGTCCCGTCGCCTGAGAGCGCTTGTAAACAGTTTAGGGCAATATCATTGCAAATGTTTTTATCGCACTGTTGGGACGATTTTGTGTCAAACCGAGTCCGAACCCAACTACAACAATATGTGTTAAATTCAAATGCATAAATTTTTGCAGTAGTATGTTTTCTTATATACACTAATATAGAAATATATCAGATATATGAAAAAGGGAAGGGCAGCCTTGATATCTATACTAATATATTTTATCTGTCATTCATGAATATACTATAACTTAACAGCTAGCTAAGCTTTTTGTATATGTGAAATCATAAAGATAATAGTTAGTATTTGATGAAGACTTTATGATCCCAGCAGAATTTAAAAATAGGTATTCGTATGAAGCTTTCAGAGATGATTATAATTTGCAGAAAAGTTTCCATTTCGAGAAATGTTATGGTTTAAAAATGCCGATAAATACGCTTCGACAATTCGATTTTTTAAAATTTTCAATTGTTGATTACTTTTTTCAATTGTTACTCGCATGACTACGAATTGCAATTATAATGCATGAAATCCCCTTCATTTCACTTTATTTTATGAATGGCGGCATATTGACTTTTGAGCAATTGGCTTAAGCTGAAAACCATTTATAATAATGCAGTTATGACAAGGTGCTAATGGAATTCAGAGCACAGTGCGCCATCGAGTGGGCAATACAAA